GTGTTAATGTGATGAGTCTGCATCGATCCCCCCTATCGGAAGGACAGAGGCAAACACAACCTGTGCCCCTGATCCTTTAAGTAGTCGCCCTGTTGAAGGTCTTTTTGAAACAGCAAAGATCCCATAGCTTGCTGCAGCTGAGCAGACCAAGCTACCAGGGCAACTATGAGAAGTTCCCATGACAGTGTTCCCACATCACCCAATTGAGGAATTCAGAAAAATATTGTTGCCAGCAGCTGGCTTCAAGGATGGGATCTATGTGACTGCTAATCACAAGGGGGTTGTTTTCTTGCAGGTGCGGTTGTTTTCTTGTAGTTGTTTGTCTGAGTGCTTTTGACCAATAATCTTGTGTGAGACACTATCCGCCTCTATTTAGTTCACTATAAAAGCTAGGCTATTCGGGCAATAAAAGGGAGCATGATCTGACCATACTGGTGTCTGTCGTGCTTTCGGCCATGCTTCCTGAAACATATGATGCCAGAACAGGCTGAGACCCGAACAGGCTGTGACCCGGACACACTGAGAGACGCTGAGAGATCTGACAGATGCTGACAGAAACAGAGAGACTTCAGAGACACAGAGAGCCCTGAGAGAAGCTGAGAGACGGTGGGAGAAGCTGAGAGACGCTGAGAGAAGCTGAGACCTGAGAAACGCTGAAAGACCCAACAGATGCTGAGAGACCTGAGACACACGGAGAGACTTCAGTGGCACGGAGAGCCCTGAGTGACGCTTCAGAGACACGGACAGCTCTGAGAGACACGGAGAGACCTGACAGAAGCCGGAACACCTGAGATATACTGAGAAACTCCAAGCACTGACCCGGACAAAGGACTCGCGGGGAGACGCGGGACAGTGACATCATCGCGGTCAGACGCGGAAGTCGCTGTGAGATGCGGGGTAAAATCGCGGGGAGACGCGGAAATCGCGGGGAGACGTGGGGAGAGATCGCGGTTCGACGCAGAGAGATTGCGGCTAGACGCAGAGAGAGATCACGGTTCAACGCGGGGAGAGATCGCGGGGAGACACGGAGAGATCGCAGCTAGACGCGGAAAACAAAGGAATCGCAGTGGGACGCGGGAAATTGACGTCATCACGGTGTGACGCGGGACATCCGGGATCGAGTTGGCACATAGCAGAGGGGCGGAGATCAGGACCCTGCAGCCTGTCTGAAGTAACCATGGAGGCAGCGGCGGCTGTGCTGCTTCTCTCTAGCATTCTTTTTATGAGAGGCATATACTGCAATGCAAAAAAGACTATTCGTCCCCAGATAGGTGATATAACTATCCTGTTACATAATTTGACAGATGTACAAATGTTCCTGGATAACATTCAGAGGGGTTGCCACATTGTACGGACTACTAATGACGCCTTAGCTATATTACTACCTTTATTGCGGTGCAGGAGTGCAGAGCCACAGATTACGCTAACAAATGACCACCGGCAGGCTCTTTCGCAAATAGCTTCTAAGGTTGCAGCTGGCACTGCCTGCAGCCATATAGCAGACATTACACTCTCTTTCCTAATTAGCATTCATGCGTCTCACCCATTTGCGGTGAATGGTCAGTGGCAAAAAGAAAAGGGGGAGAGTAAGGGGCGACAAAGACAGAAACAGTATCAGGAGGATGCCACTGACACTAACAGCACTGGGAATAGGAGTAGTATAAGTGCCACAGGTGATGGCAAAGGTGGAATGATAGGGCAGCTTTTTCGAGTTCTGGAATGGATTTTCCTACCGATTCAGCCAAAAACGAGTATTCCATATTCTCCCACGGGCCAAGTGATGGTTGACCAATCACGCCAGGTTTTAAAGGAACAATTAGTGAGATTAAAAGACATCAAGAACATCGATGAACAATTGTCCGAGGCATTGGTTGTCTTGAATCACTTATGTTTGACTAGTGACCGAGAAGACCCTCCTACAAGTATTCATTTTCAAACAATAAATATAGCAGCACCAAATGTGTTACCACAAATAAGAATGAATTACCGAGATCCTGCTACAGGAACTTGGAAAGGGCCATACGGGTACAGAAATACAAGTAACACCTGTGATTACAATGACACTGCTAGGCAGGGTTTAGGGGCTTATGGCACGGAGACAAGGGGTAACAGCTATAGCGTTTAGAACAATCGTACAGCAATGGCCTTACCTCCTGATGTTTTTCTGATTTGCGGGAATAGGGCCTGTCAAGGTATCCCTGCAAATGCTATTGGAGGTCCATGTTACTTAGGTAAATTTACTATATTTGCTCCTAGCTTCTCGCAGTTGCATGAGATCGCCAGACATAAACGGGCATTGCTTGCATTGGATTGCAATGATAATGTTGAATTGTGTGGGGTTGCAGCTAGAACGGCATTGGCATGGATGCCTGGAGTGGCATCTGTGGCCACACTTAACAACTTAGAAAAATTGGTATTCTGGGCCGAGAAGCAAGCCAATGCCACAACAGAGATACTTGAGGAGATGTTACCAGATCAAAATAGTCTGCGACATGCACTCTTACAGGATCGAGCTGCTATTGACTTCTTGCTTTTGGCTCAAGGGCATGGGTGTGAGGGCTTTGAGGGAATGTGCTGTATGAACCTTTCTGATCGTAATGAGTCAATTCACAAATCCATTAGTTTCCTGAAAGAGCACATGAGAAAGATTCAATATAGTATCAACCCTTTCAATCAGTGGCTCACTGATTTGTTTGAAACAATGCATAGATGGTTTCTGGGATTAATCAAAGAGGGATTAAGGATTCTGTTTGTTGTGGTGTTAATCATCATTGCGTGTTGTACTGTAATAAATGTGGTTAAAGGTTACCTGCAAAACTGTTACAACCTTTCTTGTGATTTGTGTTTCTGATACAAACAGCAATTACCCAGCCAAGTAATGAGACTCTAATGAACATGTCTTTCCTATATTATTTTTGAAGTTAATCAGAGAAGCCTTGTAGTATTGTAAAATTAAAGTCTGCTTTTTCCCTGACAAGACACATCTGGTTGTTCTACTAAATATTTATACTTGAGTAATTGAGAGTTATTAAATATATATATATAGGTTTTCCATGTAAACATGAAAATATATTATTTTTATTTACCTCTGGTTTTATTCTAGCATGATACAGATCAAATTTTTTTTTCTGCTTAGTCTGATCCAAATCCAATATCGATATATTTTTTTAACCGCGTATTTCATGTGGAAGTGTATCTCACCTGTGTACAGGAGGGAGTTTTGTTTAGTGGAAATAAAGCTGCAAGTGAAGAGAGGAATATTATTTTTGAGATCAAGGAACTCCTCCTTATTATGAAATGTAACAGTCATGAGCCATAGATTTATTTTTTTATTATTATTATTTCTGTCTCTTTTTTGTCTCATCTAATACAGTCTTCAGGACTGTGTGAAAAAAAACAGCAACTTCTCTTTGAGTCTTGAAAATGCAGATGTACCTGTGTACTTATAACCCATGTGTGGCTGGCCTGGTTGCACTGCTGAGGAGAGTTTAGATGGAAGCCTGGGACTGTTGTCTTCTGAGACTGCTCTTTGGAGGGCGGATTGGGGATCGCAGGAGATGTACGTTTGAAGCCCTAAAGTTGAGAAACTTGAACCTGCATCCTAAACCTAAGTATTGGAAAGTAAATTTGAAAATTACATGAAGTTTGGTGGAAAAGTAAATCATACTAAGAAGAGGGTATGGATTTTTTTAGCCTAGATTTTTTGGGAAGCAGTCTTATTCAAACAGGGTGAATTTGGTACATAAGTGCAAAGCTGTGGAAGATCTACCTGCAAAGAGAACCTGGGGGAAAATATTCTGGAAATGCATTTCGGGGGGGGGGGGGGGGGGGGGGCGGAATAAAAAAATTGGAGGACCTAAACAAGGCTATGAACTTGAGTTCAGTACAGGGCTGTAAAGGAGTGGGACTACACAACAAAGAAAGGAAAAGTGGGGTGATGGCATACCTCTGCTTGCAATTGGTATGTCCTGACTCATTGGACTACCTGTCAAAATTTCTATATGACCAAGCATTGCAAATCATTTACCATATAATTTACCAACTCAGAGGGATGAAAGGCGAGTGGGAATTTTTGAGGGAGTTTACTGGCAAGAAAGGAAGGTGCTCCGCATCCTTTTCTTACTGTTCTGGACATTCATCTTATGATGGTGTGGACCACACTCTAGAAGAGCTACTTTCTGTCTGAATAGACAGGGAGTCATGTAAGTCTTGGTCTGATATTGAGTTTTCCATTAGAGAGATTAATGTTTAATCAGAGAATCCCACCATAAACAGCTCAAAATTTTTCATGGTAACAAAACTTAATTTAAGCTATGAAACAATAATTTCTTTTATAGGGCATTAACATATGCTTTGGATAGGCCATGCAACAAAAACAATACTGTGAATTGCTTTACTGGGATGAATTTTAAAAGCAATTTTAAACATTTTGATAAGAGTCTATTTTTTGCTAGATGATTTATCTATTTACTGATTTAGTATGTGTTTTTCTCTTACAACGTGTCCTGTAATAAGGGAGAGAAATCAGAGGAGAGAAAGCTGATGCTATTAATTGGAAATATTTTTTAATCATATCTACATGTTTCCCAAGTGGATTTTCTTTACAGTAAATTACTTAATAGCAGTGTAATCGGAATTTAACATTGTTTCAGTTTCATGAACTACTTACATTAATGATGATCTAATCTCCAGGTTGATGCACTCCTGTTTAGGAATTTAAATGCCAGCTTCAGGCTTTAAAAGTTTTTAAGATCTAATTGTCTAATTGTTAATAGTGTCTTGTTGCAGGAAGCACGGCCGAAAGCACGACAGGCACCAGCAGAGTCAGATCATGCTTCATTTTATTGCCCGAATAGCCTAACTTTTATAGAGAACTTAACAGGGGTGGACAGTGTTTCACACAAGATTATTGGTCAAAAGCACTCAGACAAACAACTACAAGAAAACAACCCCACCTGCAAGAAAAGAACCCCCCTTGTGATTAGCAGTCACGTAGACCTTGTCCTTGAGGCCAGCTGCTGGTAACAATATTTTTCTGAGTTCCTTAATTGGGCGATGTGGGAGTCATTGCCGTGGGAGCTTCTCACAGTTACTCTGGTAGCTTGGTTTGCTCAGCTACAGCAGGCCGTGGGATCTATGTTGTTTCCAGATTCCCTCAACAGTGTCTGTGCTTGTAATGCCAAAAAAAAGGGGGGGGGGGGCTTAAGAAACAGGACTTTATAGTTTTGTTTTCCTACAGCTGCTAGTCAATACAAACATATAAAAACAGGTACTACTAATTATCCTGTCATTGATCAAATAAAAATGACCTTTACCTTGTGTCAAACAAGATTCAGTGTTAAAAACGATAGTTCATTTAAGCAGCTTTGTCTAAGGAGAAACACCAAAAGCAACAGCAAAAATTCCCTGTACCCCGTAGAAATACCTTGAAACCAGGTTCCTAGCGCAAGGGCCCCAATACTTTTCCTTCTGGAACTCAGATTTTTGCCTGTGAGTTAGAAATTACACTCCCTGAATTCAAAGTATGTAATTGCTGAGATAAACAATTCAGGAGCAAGCCTTACATTGAAAATTGATAGGTGCAGGTTGCTGGTGTACAAAGACAAATGATGACTCTGCTCGGGATGTGTTTGCAAACAGAAAAGTAGAAGAAGGGCTACACGTATCAAACACTTACATTGCATTGAATAATGTGATAGGTTATTGTCAGTAGTAAGTAGAAAACATTAGGAAAAAATAGTGGTATTGCAGAGAATGGGATGATATAAGAAAAAGAAGAGCTGTAAGGCTTGGGAGCGTGTGTGCAGAGGGAAATTGGAATTGTCTGTAGAAGAACAAAGAGAACAGCAGGAAAGATAAAACATGGGTGATGGAAGGATAGTAACAGCTATTAATTACAATGAGAAGTCATTTGCGCTGTACCTTCACTGCGTGAAAATGGTGATCATTGAAATAGCGTAGGCCCAAGCATCTGAATCCAATAAATGCGGCTTATTTGCAGATGTGATGCCAGCAAGTGAAACCTTGCAAGAAAAAGAAATGCAAGTGCACCTTTGGGCTTGAAATTCACTCTTGGAACCAGATCATTTATGTTTATAGCCTCCATCATTAAGCATCTCTTCCCATAAGTATGCAATCTCAAATGCCAAACTGACCAGTGCTATTAAAAGTGTAAAACTTTTAAGTAAATAGAGAACATAGAAGGAGGAATAACATTATATATATATATATATATATATATATATATAAAGTATTAACCACTAAATATTTACCTCTTTGGTGCAAGTTTTATTGACCAAAATAAAAATTTGACCTTTTTTTTTCTAAAAGGGGAAAATGTTGTTCTCTTGATTTATTCTATCTGACAACTAAATATACTTTTCAAAGAGTTCTAAAAATAGTTGTCACACTATTAGTTACCTTTTTTGTTATTATTATTTATCTGTATCTAGTTCATATACTACCATCTTCTTTATAAGTACTTAAAAACATTAAACAACAATAACTTTACAAAGCTGTGGTGATTTTACCATGCTGGGCAGCTAAACCCCACAACCGGGCTCTCACTCCCCCTCTTTTAGATGAGGAGGGGGAGAAGTAAAGCAAAGAACAATTCACGGGTTGAGATAAGGATAATTTAATTAAAGGGAAATAATAATAATAATTAAATAAAGATTATTATGAACTAAACAATTTAACTAAAGGGAAATAAAAAGGGAAAGGGGAAAAGGGAGGGGGAAAGGGAAAAATAAAAAGAAGGGAGGAAAACAAACAAATAAAATAAATGAAGGCTATGTGGAAGTGCAGAGGAAAGAAATTACTCTCTACTTCCCACAAATGAGCGATGATTGACCAATGAGCAAGGCCTCAACGCACGCAGCCGGTGTTCGAGAGGAGGACCGACGTTTTCCCAACGAGAGCCCACCCCTCCCTCTTCTTCCTGTTTCCACCTTTTATTGCTGAGTGTGACATCACATGGTATGGAATTTCCCTTTGATTGGTTTAGGTCAGCTGCCCTAGTGATGTTTCTCTTCTCACTTTTTTGCCCACCCCCTAGGAGGGTTAGAGAAAGTCCCGATGCTGTGCCACTGCTGCTCAGCAGTAGACACAACACTGGTGTGATAACACTGCTGTTCCAACTACAAGTGCAGAGTACGGCACTGCATGGGCTGCTGCAGGGAAAGTTAACATTCCAGCCAAACCCAATACAAAAGCGAGACTTGCTTTGCTTCATGGAAAACAAATGTTGAGAAAAGTGGTGTTACAAGCAAGCAGTGCTGCAGAGTGCTGAGCTAATGTAAATCCCCCATTTATGTAAAATAAAGGGTGAAGAGAGATTTAGTGAGTAAACTCAAAAGTTTAAGAGAAAACAGGTTTCAAAACTGACCTGAGCAGGATAAATTGTGACATTACTCACACAGTGCACACAGGGAAATGGATTATGTAAGAGAAAAGTAATAACAAAGATATTCTGTGGGAAAGGAATTTGCAGGTGGCTCTGCGCTGTTTCACACGTCCCTGAATTAGAGATAATGAGGAAACAAGCGGTAGAAACAAAAACTTGAGCAAGGTTGAGATAATGTAAATTGGCTACAGTGTTAAAGATGAGCTTTGGGCAGTGGCCAATTGCTGGCTGGATCAAAGGGTGTGTCTGAGGGTCTCTAACTAATAGTATGACAGAGCATGGGGCTATGGGGAAAGTATATGTAGTAGTGAAAAAGGGCAATAAATGTCTCCTGTTCAAGAGCCATCAGGAGTCTGTGTCTTGCATCCCTTCAATATTCTTATTTAATAAACATTCTGTGTTCATCTCAGTATTTTTCCTCTCAATGATAACAATAAAAAGAACAGGAAAGTTTATGCAGTAGATCTAGGAAAATATAAGTGGCTTGTTTACAATTAGTACAGCATTTTCTGAATTTAATTTCTTTGCTTTCTCTTTCATCCCTTGTGATACCACTTTGTCCAGGTTCTTGTCAGCAGGAGCCATTCCTTTACTTTGTGTGTGTAGTAGCCTGCATAAGGTAGATAACTGGCAAATTGTGCAACTGGACATTGCTGTTAACTGTTGTTATACATCGTCAATTATCACAGCCACATGAGAGCTTTTAAGCAGAATGCTTTTGATTTCTGAGGCAATGATTTTTGAGATATTCTTTTACTGCTGTTTGGATTGAGATCACTAGAATTGCATGTATTTTGCTGAAAACCAGGATATAGATATTCATCTTCTGTTACTTCATGTAATTTGTGTGTTTGTACCACTGCTGTGTTAACTCAAGACTTATATCTGAACCATGGATTTGTTTTATACAGGCAAATTAAACTGGATATGTGTCGTGGTTCCGCTAGAGTGGGCAGCCAAGCTCCACCACAGCCGCTCTCTCACTCCCCCTCCTCAAAGAGGAATGGGGAGAAAATACGATGAAAAGGGCTCAAAGGTTGAGATAAGGACAAGAAGATCGCGCAGTAATTATTGTAACGGGCAAAACAGACTCAGCATATGGAGATAGTAAGATTTATTGCCTATTACTAACAAGCTAGAGAAGTGAGAAACAAAGGAAAGAAACCAAAAGCACTTTCCCCCCCCCATCCACCCTCTTCCACCTCCTCCCCCCGAGCGGCGCAGGGGAACGGGGCAATGGGGGTTATGGTCAGTCTACAGCGCTTCTTCTCTGCCATTCCTTCTCGGTCACTCTCGTCTGCTGTGCTGTGGGGTCCCTCCCACGGGATACAGTCCTTGATGAACTGATCTGGTGTGGGCTTCCCACAGGCAGCAGCTCTTCCAGAACTGCTCCAGATATGGGTCTGTGAAATATGATAATCTGATTCGTGTCAGTATGGAACAGTGCTAGGGCCGCATGGTATGATGAATGTGACCTTCTGTCTTACATACCCTTGTATAACCACAAGTCTAAGAAAAACAGAGCGGTTAATGTATATAGTTCTTGTATCTTGCAAAGGAATGTTTTAGCAATTCATGTCAATAGAGGGCTTGAAGGGAAATGTATTTGTAGGCTTTTCCTTGAAGTCTCTGATATCTGGGGGGTTTCAGAATAACTGCTAACTATTATGACTATTGCATGGGACACTATGCAAGTCTCTGATATCTGGCCAGGAGATTAAGGAGACGGGGAGAGCTGAAGAACAACCAAAAGACAAAGCTTGCAAGAGAGGCTGCAAAGTCTCTGACATCCGGCCAAGATGGACAAAGGAGAAGGGCAAGAAAAAAAGCCTGGGAGGAAGACTATGAGCCTTCGGCACAAGAGATCCCCAGAGACCCCCAGAGGGACCACCGGAGACTGATACGCATGTTCCAGTAGGAGGGTTTGGATTCCAGAAACTAATTATAATAACCCTGTTTTTTTCTAGAAGTAATAATGAATATGAACTTATTGAGGCGCACCTGGGGGACAAAGCAGTCATTGGTCCCAGCCAGCATGGGTTTGTGAAGGGTAGGTCCTGCCTAACTAACCTGATTTCCTTTTATGATAAGATCACCCGTATGGTGGACCAAGGGAAACCAGCTGATGTGATTTTTTTGGACTTCAGCAAGGCTTTTGACACGGTTTCCCATAGGATCCTACTGGACAAAATGTCCAGCATACAGCTAAATAAAAACATCATACGATGGGTGAGCAATTGGCTAACGGGCAGGGCCCAAAGGGTTATGGTAAATGGGGCTGTGTCAGGCTGGCGGGCGGTCACCAGTGGGGTCCCTCAAGGCTCCGTTTTAGGGCCGGTACTTTTCAATATTTTTATAAACGATCTGGATGTAGGAATAGAAGGTATTTTGAGCAAGTTTGCTGATGACACCAAACTTGGAGGAGTTGTGGACTCGAATGAGGGTGGAAAGGCCTTGCAGAGGGATCTGGATAGGTTGGAGAGCTGGGCGATCACCAACCGCATGAAGTTCAATAAGAGCAAGTGCCGGGTCCTGCACCTGGGACGGGGAAACCCTGGCTGCACGTACAGACTGGGCGATGAGACGCTGGAGAGCAGCCTAGAAGAGAGGGATCTGGGGGTCGTGGTAGACAGCAAGTTGAATATGAGCCAGCAGTGTGCCCTGGCAGCCAGGAGGGCCAACCGTGTCCTGGGGTGCATCAAGCACGGCATTGCTAGTAGGTCAAGGGAGGTGATTGTCCCGCTCTACTCTGCGCTGGTGCGGCCTCACCTCGAGTACTGCGTGCAGTTCTGGGCACCACAGTATAAAAAGGACATGAAACTGTTGGAGAGTGTCCAGAGGAGGGCTACGAAGATGGTGAAAGGCCTGGAGGGGAAGACGTACGAGGAACGGCTGAGGGCACTGGGCCTGTTCAGCCTGGAGAAGAGGAGGCTGAGGGGAGACCTCATCGCAGTCTACAACTTCCTCGTAATGGGGGTGTCGAGAGGCAGGAGACCTTTTCTCCATTAACACCAGTGACAGGACCCGCAGGAACGGGGTTAAGCTGAGGCAGGGGAAATTTAGGCTTGACATCAGGAGGAAGTTCTTCACAGAGAGGGTGGTTGCACACTGGAACAGGCTCCCCAGGGAAGTGGTCACTGCACCGAGCCTGTCTGAATTTAAGAAGAGATTGGACTGTGCACTTAGTCACATGGTCTGAACTTTTGGGTAGACCTGTGCGGTGTCAAGAGTTGGACTTGATGATCCTTAAGGGTCCCTTCCAACTCAGGATATTCTATGATTCTATGATTCTATGTAGGAGCCTAGGAGCAAAAAAATCAGCTGCCTTATGTAACTGGTGTGCGTCTTGGTGGAGCAGAGACTCCCGGTGCACCCAGCGCTGTTTGCTTACCTCTATTCCTTTAATAAATTGTAAACTTTGATTATAGTCCTATTTTGAAGACCGAGACATTTATTACAGGTCCGTACCACGGGGGTCCATCCCTCAGGAGAAAACTGCTCCAACATGGCTCCCCCACGGGCAGCAGCTCCTGCCAGGTCACCTGCACCTGCATTGTCTCCTCTCCACGGGCTACAGGTCTGGCCCAGAATATGCTCGGGCAGAGGTCTTCCACAGGCAGCCTCCGAGCCTCCGTCCATGCAGGTCCACCTGCTCCACCGTGGTCTCTTCCAGGGGCTGCAGCATGGAACCCTGCTCCACATTGGTACTCCAAGGGCTGCAGTGGGACATCCTGCTTCACCATGGTCCTCACCACAGGCCGCAGGGGACTTCTGCTCCGGCACCTGGAGCACCTCTCCCCCTCCTTCTTCACTGACCTTGGTGCCTGCAAGGCTGTTCCTCACTCCCCTCACTCTCCCAGCTGCTGTGTGGCGCAACATTTTTTTCCCTGTCTTAAATATGCTCTCACAGAGGCGCAAAACAACATCGCTTATTGTCTCGGCTCTGGTCAGCAGTGGGGCCCTTACCACACATGGGGCAGCTTCTAGATCGTCCTCACAGAAACCACCCCTATGGCCCCCTGCTACCAAAACCTTGCCACGTAAACCCACTACAATATGTCAAAGCTATAGTCTTGCAGCAATGATATGTCAATGATGATTAACACCACAACAAACAGAATCCTTAATCCCTCTTTGATTAATCCCAGAAACCATCTATGCATTGTTTCAAACAAATCAGTGAGCCATCGATCGAAAGGATTGATATCATATTGAATCTTTCTCATGTGCGCTTTCAGGAAAGTAATGGATTTGTGAATTGACTCATTACGATCAGAAAGGTTCATACAGCACATTCCCTCAAAGTCCTCACACCCATGCCCTTGAGCCAAAAGCAAGAAGTCAATAGCAGCTCGATCCTGTAAGAGTGCATGTCGCAGACTATTTTGATCTGGTAACATCTCCTCAAGTATCTCTGTCATGGCATGGGCTTGCTTCTCGGCTCAGCATGCCAATATTCCTAAATTATTAACTGCG